ATTACAGAGCTAGTACTGCAACTTCTGCAGCCACTGAGCTACATAAGGTTCATTTAACAGCTAGCATGGATGATAGGAAGTCCTTCGTGTGTTTGGTCACTTACAATTGGCAGCATGAGCATATATTGCAGTATGAGAAACAGCACTGGACTTGGGTCCAGAAGGACTGAGCTTGAGCCATTGCTCTGCCTTGTCCAGCACAGTGACCTCGGTGAGTCACCTACTTTCTCTGAACCTTAGTTTTCTCATCTGTAGAATGGATATAATACCTTCCCTGTCTATTCACATGGCTTCTTAAGGAACAATTGTGAACTGTCTTAGTCTATGTCTCCTTGAAGTTCCATCAGTTCTGTTTTACGTATTTTGAAGCTTTGTCACTAAGTCAATAAATGTTTAGGATTCTCATCTCCTCTTGATGAACTAATTCCTTTATCATCGTGAAATTGCCCGTTTTATCACTCATAATATTCTTTGCTCTTAAATCTGTTTTCTGATATTAATGAATTCATTCCAGCTTTATTTTGGTTAATGTTATCATGTGATAACTTTTCTGTCTTTTTATTTTTAACTGATTTGTGTTTTTATATTTGAAATACATTTTTTGTAGATGGCATATATTTGGGTACTGTCTTTATATCAGGTCTGACAATCTTTGCCTTATTTAGAGCATTTCTATTTAACATAATTACTGATACTGTTAGGTTTAAATCTATAATCTTGCTATTAGGGTTTTTCCCTTTCATCCTATTTTTTCCTCTTGTTACTCTTTTTCTGCCTTCTTTGGATTAATTTAAAAAAATTTTTATAGTCCCATTTTATTTATTTTCTTGGTTTGTCAGTTTTGTTTTACTCTATATATTGTAATTTCAGTGCCTTAAGATTAATATCATCACTCAACCTTAACTTATCAAAGCTCACTTTCAAGTGATATTATACACCTCACATATATTATAAGAACCTTACAATCGTGTACTTCAATTTCCTCTCCCAATCTTTATGCTACTGTTGTCATACATTTTACTTTTATATATGTTATACCCCGCTATAAATGACCTTTTAATGAGATTTAAATAAGAAAATTCTTATATTTTTACAGCTTTGTGTACATTCGTCTTACTGTCTGGTATCACTTTCCATCTGCCTGAGGACTTCCTCTAACAATTATTGTTGTGTAGGTCTCCTGATGATTAATTCTTCTGCCTTTTTATAAAAGTCTGAAAAAGTCTTTATTTTACTTTCATTTTGAAATATCTTTGTTACACAATAGAATTCTAGATTGATTTTTTTTCCTTTTATTTCTTTAAAGATATAGTTCCACTGTGTATTTTACTCAGATTGTTTTTGAAGTGAAATCTTCTGTCACCTTTGTCTTTGCTCCCCCATATATGACATATCTTTTCTCTGGCTACTTTTAAGGTTTTCTATCACTGGTTTTGAGCAATTTGATTATGATGTGTCCTGGTGTATTTTTTAAAAATATTTTTGTGGCTAGAGTTTATTGAGATTCTCAGCTCTGTGGGTTTACAGATTTCATCAAAGTTGGAAAGTTTTCAGCCACTTTTTCTTCAAACATTTTTTTCTATCCTGTCACCTTCCCCTTCTTTAGTGACTCCAACTACATGTATGTTAGGCTTCTTGATATTCCAGCATGGCTAACTAATACTCTGTTTATTTTTTTATTCTCTTTTCTCTCTGTTTTATCTATTAATATGACTTCAGGTTTACTAATCTTTTTTCCCTGCAATATCTAATCGTCTGTTAATCTAGTCCAGTGTGCTTTTTTTAATCCCACACATTATCATTTCATCTCAAGTTTGACTTGAGTCTTTTTATATCTTTCATTAATCTACTTAAATTTTTGAACATATGTAGTTATAATACAATTATAATAACTTTTTTTGCCCTTGTTTGCATAAATCATAATATTTGTGTCAATTATGGGTCAGTTTTGATTGATTAAATTATTTCTTCTTTATGAGTCATGTTTTTCCTGCTTTTTTGCATTTCTAGAAAATTTTTATGATACCTTTATTGAGATGTAATTCACACACTATACAATTTATGTTTTTAAAGTGTGAAATTCAGTGTCTTTATAATTCACAGAGTTGTGCAACCCTTATCACTATTTAATAATTTTTTTAAAAAAATAAAATTTTATGGATACTATTTTTTACATTCTATGATTGTTGCAGAACAGTTGGGAGGAAGAGGGAGAGGGGAAAGGGGAAGGAAATAGGATGGAAGAAGGAGTGAGGAAGAGGGGATTGAGGCCTGTGGCACCCCTCTTATTGCCATAGGAGAGACTGGGGGGCTTCCAGCAGTGGCTTGGTCATTGCTGGGCTGGGTGCAGATTTCAGTGGGATGTGGAAAAGACCTCAGCCCCCCACCAGCCCAGCTCAGGAGAACCCAGGGCACTTCCTGCCACTGCTCAGTGGTCGCTGCTGGGCTGGCTGTGGGTGTTGGGGAACCATGACTGAGGCTCTCAGACCCCCACCAGCCTGGCTTTGGAGAGCCTGGGGTGCTTCCTACATCAGCTCAGTGGTCACCACTGGGCTGGCTGCATGTGTCAGGGTGGCGTGGCCAAGGCCCTCATCCTCCACCCTTGGGATTGGTTGTAGGTGTCAGGGGTCATTGCTTAGGCCCCTGGCCCTCTCCCCTTTCTGCCTTGGTATCCCAGGGGACTTCCAGTCCTTCTATGTGTTATAGGTGTTCTTTGGTGAAATGAGACCTTTCCTAGTTAATATGAAACTTTGTCTCTGGCTGTGGGTACTTTGTTTTTTCTTTCAGTTCTGTGTTGGATTATTTGCTGTTCCCACCATTTAAACTGTGTGCTGGAACTAATTTGTTGTCCTTTGCTTACTTCTAAAATGGGGAAACTTCCTATGGGGACCAGTACTTGAGCTGTGTTGTTGAGCTAGTTTGCTATTTTGCTGCTGATTCCCTAGGGAAGGCTTTTTGTGCAGCTCAGGTTTTAATGGTCGACTTTATAGGTATTTCCAGCTCTCGAGAGATCTGAAACTCTCGTCTGGGCCTAAGTCTTTTTGTCAAACTGCACCCCATGCAATTCTATATTCCTGCCCAGTCTCCTCTGAGTGGTCCTGCGCTGATTGGGGGGCAGATCGGCAGTCCTCGCTGTGTCCCAGTGTTCCCCTGGTGGGCCTGTCTCCCCCATTGCCTGTGCTGCAAACACTTCCCATGGGACAGGCTGTGTGCTGGTCCCTTGTGATGACTCACTGGCCTCTGAGTGGCTCCTTTTCTCCAGTTGTTGTGCCCCCTCACTCCTATGTGAGTCCACGGGAACCCTATTAGTGGTCTTGCTGTCCTGGGAGTCACCAAGGCCCTCTTCTCCCCTGCCGCCTCCAAGTAACTTCATCTGGAGGGCACAGCTGCAGCTTTTGCCAGCTCCTGCTCCATGCACTCAGCAGCTCCAGCTTGGATACGGCTGGGGTTTGAAAGAGTCTGAGTGTTTTTTTCCTCTCTCATCGTGGCTTCTCCCACCTTCATGCACTCCGTGGGACTCTCCTCCTCTTCCTCTGAGCTCTAGTGGCCCCAGCTTGGCTGTCATTGCTTTTTTATAGTTGTAAATTGGTTGATTTGTGGGAGAGAGTGATGCTGGAGACTATCTATTCTGCCATCTTGACCAGAAGTCCCACCACTATTTAAGTTTAGAGCATTTTCATCCCCCTAAAAAGAAACTTAACACTCATTAGCAGTCACTCCCCACTTTCCTCTTCCCCAATCCTGCCCTCGACACCCACTAGTCTACTTTGTGTCTCTGGGAATTGTCCTATTCTGGACATTTCATATAAAGGAAATCATGAATTTGTGTTTTTTTGTGATTGGCCTCTTTCACTTAACATAATGTTTTAAAGATTTTTTCAAGTTGTAGCACATATCAGTACTTGATTTCTTTTTATTGTTGAATAATATGGATACAACACCCTTTTTTATTCATTTGTCAGTTGATGGATATTTGGATTATTCCTACCGGGAAATTTTTTTATTGGATGTCAAATATTGTGAACTTTACCTTTTGGGGCATTAGATATTTTAAATGCTGTATGTATTCTTGACTCTCACTCTACGATGCAGTTAAGTTACTTAGTAATAATTTGATCTTTCCAAATCTTGCTTTTAAGATTTGTTAGGCTGATGATATTGGTTCAATCTAGGACAAACCATTCCTCACCTTTTAGGTAAGACATATATGTACTATACCTAAGGCCCCAAGAATCTTGATGTCTTCCTATCTGGCTGGTGGGAACAGGCACTATTCCCAGCCCTGTGTGAGTGCTGGGCACTGTGACCTTCAATTCTCTCAGGTGGTTCTTTCCCTGGCCTCAGGTGCTTTCTTCACATGCATGCACAGATCTGTTCAGCTGAATACCCAAGTAGGACCCTCTTCAGATCTCTGGAGTTCTTTCTCTGTGTTGCTCTATCCTTTCCAGTACTCTTGCCTCTGAACTCCAGCTTCCTCTCAGTCTCTCAGTTCTGTTTCCTCAATCAGGGAGTCTGAGGGCTATCTGCCAGGTTCCCTTCCTTGTGCCATGGCCTGAACAATCTCTCAAACATGCAAAAGACCTGCAATTGTAGGGTTTGTCACTTGTTTCCTATCTTTCAGAGATCACTGTCATTCATTTCCTGATGTACAATGCCTTTAAAACCATTGTTTTCTATATTTTATGTGCTCTTTGGTTGTTTCAGATGGAAAGGTAAATCTAGTTCTTGTTACTCCATCTCAGCCAAAGACAGAAGTGCTGTGGCTCATAATTCACAGGGTTAAATTACTCATTGGTGACCATCAAAGCTCCTGCAGAGTAAAACATAGACTATGGGTCACCTAAACTCACTAATTATATTTCATATTGCAAATCCAGCCTTTGGAGGAGGCTGACTTTTGTTTGTTATGATAGATAATATGTTAATAACCCTTGCTTTAGGAAATCCATTTGTGCCATTTGCTTCTTTGAATGTGGGAACATTTATGTCTCCTTTCACAGGTGATCAGCGAGTTTGAAGCCTCCCCTGACTCATTTTCCTACAGAATTCCTAACCTGAGCCGGAATCGTCAGTACAGTGTGTGGGTGGTGGCCGTGACTTCCGCTGGAAGAGGCAACAGCAGCGAAATCATCACAGTAGAGCCTTTAGCCAAAGGTGTGCCACCGTAGTGGGGACCTCATTTCCTGTTGTCATCTGACCATTTTTAGGTTTCTACTCCATCTAAAATAAAATCTACAATGTCCTAAAAATTAAGTAAACCAGAACATCACATTTCAGCTCAAGAAATAAGGTTGCTGCTAACTGTCCCTGGGCTTTAATGCCAATCAGAAAAGGCCTCCCCCTACAAGTGGGGGAAGTGAAGGATGAGTGGCTTTACAACTGCAAATGTCTTAGGAAAAATTAGGAAAAGGAGCTGCCACTCCCCACTTTGAGTAGGTGAAAAGCACCATGTAACATTTTCCTAAGGAAGTTTTACTTTCATCAAAATCAGGTATCATACTTCTTAAGATATGTCTGTTTTATGGTCTCTGAAAGTTGGAACCTTACACATAAGAAAATCATTAGCTATTTATCTATTGACAGAATGCTATAAACAAAGACCTTAAATAATATTGGAAAGTTGGAGTCACCAAAGAATAAAGACTTCCTAAAGGTGAATATAATATCTTCACATTTAGATATTAGATTTGTCCTGAAAAAGCACATGTGGGCACAGAATATTCTCATTTTACTTCTAATAATTGCTTCCATCCATTGTTTTCAGGGTCCCCCTAAATTAGCACTCATACTAAGTCTGTTTTCTCACATCATAATTCCAGGCCAGCAGGAGATGCCCTCTGGTTTTAGAGTATGAAATGTTGGCAAATTATTACCAATAGGGCCTTTAGGAGCCTGAAAGAGGAAAAATTAACATTACAAGTTTCCAATTTTACCTCCAAGAGTTCTTTGATAACATGCTTATTAATGTAATAGACAAGAAATAGGCAGAATAAGATAGCACGGGGGAAAGAGAGTGGTGTCACATTTTGAACACAAATACAGATAGAAAATAAGTATTTTTTGGTAATAAATATTTGAATGTTTTTGTCTATCAGACTCTTTGGTCCTGATATCCAATCACTCCCTAATCTTGAGAAAAGAGTGTTTGTCAAGGAAAATGTTGGACATAAGGACTGAGCTGTTGGCTAAAAAAGGAACTGCAACAGAAGATGTAGGATTAGCAATAATGTTACTTCTTCATTTCCTTTCAGAGTTCTGTCTCTAGATGTGGCCAAACTGGCCTGGCTAGTGGAGTAGAAATGACATACTCAGTGGGGGAACAGCTGAAAACTGGCCACTTCCACAAGAGTAGGTCTTGTCTGGGGAGATTAAATATCATGTGGTCATGTAGTGAATCATTTTGAGTGTATGTATGTCAGGCACTATGCTGGGGATACGGGACTTAGTCAAGGGAGCCTGACTGCTGAAGCAAATATCCCCTACATCTCAGTGGCTTCACAAAGTAGCACAGTCCAACATGCATAGTTTTGGTCAGGTGGCTCTCAACACGTGGTGATTCAGGGATCCAGGCCTTTTTCACCTTGTGATTTGCAACGCTGGAGTCCCTCATTTCCAGCCACAGAGACGGAGGAAAAGATGGAGGGTCCTAGGGGAGGTTTTTACAGGCCAGACATGTACATGTGTGCATTCTTTTTACCCACAATCTATTGCATAGAATGAAGGCAGTGGACCCACCCATTTTCAAAGCAGGTCTGTGAAGTAAAGTCAGGCTGCATGTCCAGAAGGCAAAGGAAACAGAGTTTGGTGCCCACAGAGGAGTCTCTTCTAAGGATCTAAACAGGCATGTTTGCCAACTGCCTTCATGGAGCTTATAGTTTGGTGGGGAGACAGTCAGTAAACAAAGCATCACTAAAATATGTGTGTAATTGCAAATTGTAATAAGCACCGGGAGAGGATGTCACTTAGAGCATTGGGATGAGTAAATGCAGTTACATGAAAAGAAAAGAAAATGCTGTTCCAGGAGGAAGGAAGCCAAGTCTGAGGCCCACAGATGAGAAAAAGTGTAGCATGTCAGTGGTCCCAGAGGGTGGACCTTAGTGCAGATGGGCGAGGGGACAGTCACACAGATGAACCTGGGAAGGAAGGCTGGGCTTTCAAGACTGTGTCAGGGATTTCAGATTTTACTTGAAGTAAAATGGGAAGAAACTGCAGGGTTTTAAGCAAAGGAAGCCCATGACCATGTTTGTGTGTGTTTGTGTCTGTGTAACAAACTTTACTTTCTTAGAAAAGTTTTAGATATGCAGAAAAATGGTGAAGATAGAATGTAACAGAGCGTTTCCGTTTACCTTGTACCTAATTTCGTTTATTATTGACATCTTAAATTAAATGGTGCCTTTGTTGTAATTAATGGCGGGTGTGTTTTTGAAGACCACACTGATCTCTATATCCTAGATGGACCACAGAGAAGGAAGGGTAGGAAAAGCAGGAGGCTGAGCTTGAGTGATTACCCAGCAGGGCTTGGACCAGCAAAGCAGCAAAGAGCATACAAAGAGGTGGACCAGCCTAAGATATGTTATGGATGCTGGACTGTCGGGACTTGGTGGCAGACATGAAGGACGGTAGAGAGGGAGATAGCAAGAATGAACCCCCGGATTCTAGCATGAGTTATTGTAAGTGGAGGTGCCATTTACCGATGAGGAAGACCATGGAAGAAGTGGATTTTGAAGCAGATGAGAGATGTGGGCATTTGGGCGTGTTCAATCCAAGGTGCTGAGAATCATCATGTGGAGGTGTCTGTGCAGTGGGGGCATGTTCTGGTGCTTAGGAGAACATCTGGCAGAGTGGTCAGCATCTGGACACCCCACTACCTGGGATGTGAATGAGATCACCTGAGAGACAGAAGGGAGCTGGAAGAGATTAAGGCCCAGCATCAGCTCTGAGGAGGAACAGGGCTAGGAAAAGGCAAAGAAAAAAGTGTAAGGCCAGAGAGGCAGGGAGAACAGGAGGATGTTATGCAGCAAATTCCAAACAGATGCTTCCAGAAGGAGGGCGTGGTCAGCTGAGGCAGCTGCTGCTCAGAAGGTCAAGTGAAACAAGGCCAAAAATGCCCTTGGGTCTGGCCACAGGAGGACCTCACTGACTTCCCTGAGAGCAGCTTTGGTGGGGTGGGGAGGGGCACGCAGACGTGAGCCAGGACAGGCGAGAAGGAAGCGGGAAGTGAGGAAGTGGACAGACTCAGGGGAATGTTCATTCAACATACGTCATCATCATCAGGAAGAAGTGACAACAAGAAAGAGCTGGAGGGACAGCAGGGTCTCACTGAGCAAAGGTTCTGGTTTTATCTATTTTTTGTTATGTCTGCTATCAAACATGTTTGTGTAGTCATGGGAAGACTCTAATAGCGGGGGAGAGGTTGATAATATAAAAGAGCTGAGAACTACAGGACTGAGGTTTGGCGGAGGAAGCCCAAGTGGATTTATAGATTAGGTGGCAGGAAATGCAGGATTCCCAGCAGTGTTTTCTATTTTTTCTATCAAGTATTAGACAATTTGGGGGAGGATGGAGGGAGGGTCTGAAGTCTGAGAAGAGGAGGGACAGTAGGAGGTCACTGTTGCAGGGGGGTGGGAGGGAATTTACTAGGGAAACAGTAAGACCAGCGAGGAGTGCTAGAGTCCAGTGGGGCTGGGGACCGTGGTGTGCAGCAGTCTCCTAGCGCTATGTTGCACGGACTTCTCCAGAAACGTTCAGCTTCTCGTGCTCAAGGGAGTTTCAACCAGAGTTAGGGTTGATCTAGATAGGTTTTCTGGAAAGGGGCTGAGCTAGAGAATGCCTTGAGGATGGAGCAGATGTTCAGTCTGACAGCTGCCACCCAGAAGCCCCAGGCACTGCCACCCCTTTAAGGCTGAAAGGTCCAACTGAGAGGGCTGTGGAGGTTCACAAACAGCAGATTGGAGCAGGTTATCTTGTAGATCTCAGGAGATCAAGGCAGGCCAGGAGCAGTTTGTCAACAGGTAGCAGGGTCCAAAATCCAGACTGTGGCAGAATGGAGCCCTGGAACTAGTCCTGGAGGAGCCCCATCCTGGGAAGGAGTCCAGGGCAGAGGGAGGCCTGAGAGCATGGCTGCACGGCTGAGAACAGCATGAGAATCTGAGGATGTCCGGCTTGCCAGTGGACTAGAGTTGCTCATTAAAGACAGACCACTGAACCCATCAAAGATCCATTGAATCAACAAGGCCAAGGTGCTAATCTTCACTTTTAAATAAAGATTCAGGTGATTCTCTTGCCTACCCCAGTTTAAGAACCACTGGTCTGGTGTGTTCTGTTGCTCAGTCATGGAATTTTAGGCTAGGACCCTTTCATTTCCACATGCCTCAAGTGGGCATTTAGTTCTAGAAACGGGGTGTGTTGGGTGTGAAGATGAAGTATTTCTAGCCTGTGTTTTTGAAACTGCTGATTGGAAATTATTCATAAGTCCTAGAATTAATGGAAGGATCTATGACCAGCATATTAAAGAACTGTAATGGAATCAAATGGGATAGAGTCAAACTCTACCGCAATCGGGGGAAATTGCTTCAAACTCAGGCTTTGCTGCAATGTTTACTGCACAAAAAGTGAGGTCCAGCTTCTGAGTCATCTGGCATTTCCTCTTTTTCTCTATTCTTGCCCATAGTTCTCAAAACAAAAGCAGATGTTGTTCTAACTGTTAGACCTTAATGACCATGGTTGGCGTTCTACACCAGGATGGCTCCACAGTGAGTTGGTTCTGAGAACCCTACCTTTCCTGGGATTTTAGAGCTCCTCTGGGGAGGCTCCTCCCCACGCCACTTAGCCAGTGCAAACATTCAAGCCCTCCATGGCACAGGGGTCCCAACACTGTCTCCATTTTTATGGGTCCAGAATCAGACTGAGGCTGCCTTCCACCTGTGGTCTTCATGCCTGTGCATCTAGCCAGGCTGAGCTCCTAGAGGGAGTTCCTGTTTCTTCCATCTCTATGTCCCCACACCATGACAGTGTCTGAAGCATGTTGGCTAAAATAATGGAAGGGTTCAGCCTCTGACTCCAGTTCGCACCCCGGAAAGTAGCATCCCAGTGTATGGCAAAGATTGACAGATTGTTTTCCTCTGGAAGACTTGCATCTGGGGGTCTCTGCCAGCTTTTGTGACTCATTCAAGGAGGTAGCACTAGGAACCTGTCACTGCTGCTAACTATGGTCTTCAAGTGTTCACCCTGATCTTTATCCTGTCTCCTGGGGCTGCGCTGTGCCAGAAGCCCCTGGCAGGTACTCCTGTTTGGGCATCTGAATCACTGCCCCAAGCAAATGGTTGTTCTTCAAGAGAGACCACTCTGAAAATGTTCATTTTCCTCAATGTGTGTACCGAAGATTAAGTTAATATAATAAAGTTGGGAAAGTACCACAAAGCTGATAAATATAAATTGCTCCTGTTTTACTTCTTCCTGTCTTTGAAGGCTTTGGGTTTTGTATTGTCTACTCTCTCAGATATTAAAAGTGTATTTTAATGCACAGTTTTGGTGTTGAGATAAATTTCTTCATAAAGTACTTAGAAATATAATTGGGCTCATAGAAAACACAGCTTGGAGCTGTTTGGCTTATGAAGCCCCAAATGTTGAATTGGGACTCTTCATGTTTAGTCAATAGAAGAAAAAAGTACTACGATGGGGATTTTCAGCTATTTGTATGTTCTTAAGATGAAAATCTTTTGTAGTCTTGGTACCAGAGAATTGTAACATTAATTGACAGTTGTAAGATTAATTGGCTTCACTCACTGTTTGGGGGAGTTGCTCTATTTGGGAAGGTCATTTTGGCCTCTGTATAGACAAGTCTATGGAATAATCAGGTTTCTGCTCTGTTTGGTGTTCAGCTCCTGCAAGAATACTAACCTTCAGTGGGACAGTGACTACTCCGTGGATGAAAGACATTGTCTTGCCTTGTAAAGCTGTCGGGGACCCTTCTCCTGCAGTAAAATGGATGAAAGACAGGTAACCAGTAACCCAATGTATGCCTGTGATGAAACCCTAAGAGATTAGGTCTTACATACCCATTTTGGGTCTAGCTGTCTTCTAATTTTGTATTCATTTATATTAGTGAAAGCTCAAGGAAGCCTACCAACTCCTCTGAGGTGGGGGTGAAGAAGGAATCTCAGCTTTAGCATGGAAAGGATCTGGTGTATTGTGTTAGTCCTCTATAAATTCAGAGCCTTTAAATTCATAAGAGGATGCTGGCAAGGAAAATAGTCTAACCAATCGGATGATCATTGCAGATGTTTTCTGTACCTCATAAGGGAAATTGTCTGCATGACTGTGACAAATGTACCCAAAGTAATCATGAGACTTAATACTATCTCTTCCTCAGAAGTGATGAACTAACTAACCCTAACTCAAATGCTCTGAGAAATAACTTTAAGAAATAAAATGCTTTAGAGCTTTGCTAACATAAAATCTGGTTTTCCATACTCAATAGTAAGGATTAAAATAATAGCAGCCAAAATAGAAGGGAGAAATTGGATGAGATGTATTTTGCCCATATAACTTTTTTAAGTGCTTTATCTCTTCTCAGAGGAAAAATTAGGATGTAAATAAAGAGTCAAGAGAATTCATTTATGAGCATAGAGATTTAACATAATGGATTCAGAAGAGTGCCTTTTTTCAAACAAAAGCACTACTTAAAAAGGCATAAACTATTGAAATAATGGGCTTAGTCCAGTGACCACTTTTTTCATCGTATTTAAAGTCAGTTAATCCAAAGTAAATATGTAAGCTCCCAAGGTCATGTTGGCATTCTGCCTGATGTGAGAATCATCCCAGCAGATGGGACAATCTACCACCAGGGCAGTGGCTATGCTGGCCAGGGAATTTTTTCTGTACTAAGGTCAATTCATCATCATCTTGATATGTGACATTTCATTTTCTTAATGTCAAAATCAGTATGAATTGTGACTTTAAGTGAGTCTATAAGAAATCCCAAGATTTAGTTTCCCCTATATGATTTGGTCAAATTGGAACTTCTGCTCCCAGCAGGAATGTCCAGAATTGCCAAAAGAAGAAGTTGCCAGAGCCTACAAGTCAGGGAAAAGAGAACCCCACTGGGGATGTGCTGGTCATTGCACGTGTGAGGAGCCACGGACTCGAACCAGAGGCCAGGCCCTTGACATAGACTTAGCTCTCAACATATTATTTTTTTAAAAGAAAAAATCAGCTTTTGATTATTTTCATTATTAAATCATAGTTCAATTCCTTCATAAGACAGGGAATATTAACTTCCAAATATGTTGTTTGCTTCAGAGAGTCTTTATGCTTTTCCCCAGCCTCAGCTAATTTGGATTGTAATTTCTTTAATCTGTGCATTTTTCTTCCTGTGAGGTAGTAACGGGACACCCAGTCTAGTGACGATTGATGGGCGAAGGAGCATCTTCAGCAATGGAAGCTTCATTATCCGCACAGTGAAAGCAGAAGATTCCGGCTATTACAGCTGCATCGCCAACAACAACTGGGGATCAGATGAAATTATTTTAAATTTACAAGTGCAAGGTACAAAATTTGGGGACTCTATTTAATAATATCTTTTGTATGTATACCTTATATGCAGAGTAAAATTGAACAAATTTAAAAATCAGCCTTATAAGAAATTAATTTCTGTTTTCATATTACCAAAAAAAAATACATGTTCATTTTGGAAAATATAATTAAGCAAATCGAAGAAAAAAAAATGCATTCACAATCACAAAGAGAATACTGGGATGCAATACATTTTTGCATATAAAATGCTTAGTCTCTTTTTTCTTTATTTGTGCATCTCTGAAAAAGTCCTTCTGAATAACTTCCATTAATTGTGCTTCCATTAGTATGTATAAGTATAATGCAGAAAACACAAAGAATAAATCCGAATTGTAGTTTTTTATGTCTGCTAATTTACTCAATTTTTATATGCAATGTATGTAAAAAGTACACTAATTAAAACTCTGATTATATTGCTATAATATTTAACTGTGTGTTTAATACAAGGTATTTAGTTTTCTATATAATACACAAAAAGTGCAGAACAATTTCAAAAGACTGTTGTATTAAAATTGTGTGTAAAATCCCAAGTGGCTATTGATCGGGTTCAGATTTGGATGCACAGTGATATTTTATTAGTAGGAAAATCAAAGGGTATGCTTCTTTGGACTTAGGTGTTGTCACATTAATAGATTACAGCAAGTAAAAATAAAATCAATACTGTCCTCAGTGGGATGGGAGGGGAAGAACTAAAAATACTGCAGAATTGATCTTGAATGTCAAATAAATTGAAGTCAGGAGAATTCCAAGGCATTTTGGAAGATAGACAGTATATTATGACTCTGGAGAGATGGGTCAGTTTTTTAGGTCTTTGGGTCAATATATCAGGCTTCTCTCAGGAAGAAAGAAGAGCATTTTATGTGACACTTTCTATATAATGTGGATATCCTGATTCTAAATTTCTTCAGTGTTTCCATCCTCAGAGACAGTCCACAATAACATCGAGGCCCCTTGTTTGGAAGTGTGTATTCTGAAAACCTCATGTGGGTGTTTGGCTCGTGCTCTTTTTCCCACTAGCTGCTTCTCCCCCTTCCCCTTCCCCATCCCTAAGAAGAACAGAAGAGGATGCTGTTCATTGTTTCCACTTGAATTTCATGGCTGAAACTCACAGTGAAAGAGTGCATGTGTCCTTATAAGTTTAAGGAAAATTTCAATTAGTGGTGTATAACTCAGAAATTTAAGGAATTGGTGAGGAAATGAGTTAGAGATGAATCCAAGTAGAAATGCGGCTGAATTTTCTTTAAATAATAGATTGGCACTGTTCTCCCTCCTTAGTCCAGGATATCAACTAAATAGACATCTTCACAGAAGATATTTTGCATATTTTGGCAACCTGATTCCGTTATTTACAATGATTCCGTAAATTACTGTTAAAGAAGATTTTTTTAAAATGTGGAAAACTAACTGTTTTGTAAAAACTGTTTCCCTCTAGTGCCACCTGACCAGCCTCGGCTCACAGTCTCCAAAACCACATCTTCGTCCATTACCCTCTCTTGGCTCCCTGGGGACAACGGGGGCAGCTCCATCAGAGGTAAAAGACAGAGGCCACCCACAATAGTTGATTCATTGTATTATCTGCAGGTCAATAAGTGGTACCTCTTTATCAAAAACCTGCTTGTTGTTAGTTTATTCTCCAAAAAAATGTGTCATGTGATTAATTCTTCCATTACCTAAGCAAGGAAACCATGTATCTGTTTTTATGTGATTTCTTGAAACTCAAATCATTCACCCAAGGAATCCCATTCACAAAATCATTCTGGTGCATCCAGTCATCCAGTCTGAGTGATATGTGAACAAATGAGAGAGAGAGAGAGAGAGAGAGAGAGAGAGAGAGAGAGAGAGAGAGAGAGAGAAAAGAAATTTGGTAGTCTCTCCCCTGGGATTCTTAATACTGTTTATTCGCCCTTTCATCAACACTATAGCATTTATTCAAGTAATCCAAGTTACTTATAAATGTACTAAAAAACAGGACCTAGAGTTTAGATGGGAAATAATCTACTTGCACAAAGCCTTTACAATTAATGCGTAGTAGAGAAGTATAAATGTGGTTTATACTGAGGAAACAAGGTAGTGTGTTAATCCTAGCATATGGGTAGTTGGAAGACATTATTCTGATTGATTTGTAGACCAGGAAAAGGGAGTTAGTCCAGAGCAAGAGACAGAAGATGCACAGAAATTAGGGCCCGAGTCACAAAAACAGTTCCAGTGCAGGTGAGAGGATGGGGAACTTAGACTTCTGCAGGCAGAGAACACCCTTTCTTCAGAGAAAGGAGAAGACATCTGGAAATACAGGGACATGCAGGGTGAAGCCAGAGGTGTGCTGGAGCCAGCTGCATCCAGCTCCTGAGGGTGAGATGTCCCTTCTCCTCTCATCTCTGTGCTCAGTGGTGCAACCACACCAGGAATATCCACACACCACTGCAATCTGAAATGCTACGAATCAAGGCACTTTTTCCCCCTCCAAAAGCCAGTTGCTAAACATATATCAGAACTCCATGGGTAAAGGGAGAATCTTCCTTTTATTTTAGGGAAAAAATTGCTGAGGTCATTTTTTTAAAATAGTTGGATGATTAGGGGGAGGTTGTGTTTGTGGGTTTGAGGAGCGTGGGCTAGGTTTGTAACAGCTGCCATGTGAAATGCACAGGGAGTCATTAGATGAACAAAGTCGTGGCCAAACAGCTGCAGATACAGGGCACAAATGGTAGTGGTCACAGTTATCGCAGTTTAATGACTTTCTTAAGTGATGCTAGATGGCTGGGAAGAAAAATGGATTGCAGGTTACCAAAGTTGGTGACTGTCAAGAGAAGTGTGGCTAGAAGTCCAAACAGTGAGGGACACTAGCCTCCTTATTGAAATGACCTACCAACGGTTCTGTGCTGGTTAGAAGACCTGTCCGTACAGGAAAAAAGACAAAAAATGGGGCACCTGAGGCAGGGCTCGAGGGACCCTCGGCTGCAGCCTCAAATGCGATGAAGTGTGGGTTTTGTAACCATGAAAGTGTGGGACAGGCAAAACAAGGAGGGCGGAGAGTGCAGGGTGTTAGAGATGAACCTGGCTTCAGTAAGGAGGAGTTTCCAAGACAGAGGTAACCAGGGCATCCCTGAAATACAGCAGTGACTGCAGCACCAGCGTAGGGATGCGTCACACCTCGGCATGCCTGTGCTGTTGGACACCGATGTCACAGACAACACAAGGGAGCAAGGAACCACGTGGGCCCTCACCAAGGGTTAGAGGAGTTTTCCAAGGTGGCTTAGATGGTGGAAATTAGGAGGGAGGTGCAATCCCCAGGACACGTAGGGCAGCTGGAGTGGAGGTCGGTAGGTGACAACAGGAGCACCGAGGTCACAGGTGTCACATGTCGGGTGCTATGGGAGCTTGGAGGAGCTCAGATGAGGAGCACACATGTGTTAGTCCATTTCCGTTGCTTATAATGCAATACTGAAACTGGGTAATGCATAAAGAAAATAGGTTTATTTCTTATATTTTTGGAGGCCAGAAGTCCACAGGCCAGGAAACAAATACATCTGGTGAGGGCCTTCTTCTGGGTGGGAACCCTCTACAGTGTCCCGTGGTGACCAGGGTGTCACATGCGAGAATGGCTGAGTAAGAGAGAGCTAACCTTCTCACTGGCTCTCCTTACAAAGCCATCAGAGCCACGCCCATGATAACTCACTACGCCATGAATGGGTTCATCCTTTCACAAGAGTAACAGCCTCATGAGCCAATCACCTCTCGAAGGCTCCACCTTTCTAATACCGTAATCAGATTTCCCATCCTTTTAACACTGTTACAATGGGGCTCAGGTTTCCAATACATGAACTTTTGGGGGACACATTTAACCCATAGCAACATAGGAGAGAATATGAGGCTCAGGAAGGAGGGACCCCATGGCCACAGGGAGCCAGAGGAGGAGGGAAGCTACTGACCATGACCACAGAAGGAGGAATCAGAGATGCATGATTGCCCCATGAGGGGTTTGGAAAACACTTAATGCTGCCGTTTTGGGTTAGGAGATACCACAGTGTCGAGGGTGAGAAGTGCTTTGCCTGGAGTTCCGCAGGGCTGAGTAGAAGATCCCCATTCCATTGTCATGAGGACACCCTGTATAGGCAGGCTAGCTCCAGTCTACGTAGCTGTGGGCATTTAGGAAACAGGGACACAGCAGAGAGGACATGTTTGCCCCAGGAATGCGGTTGCAGAAAACAGGGATAAAGGAGCTAACAAGGCAGAGAGCGACAGTAGAGATTAAATCTTCCTTACAGGACCTGGGACTCAACACTTAACCTCTCTGAACCTCGGGTCTTCGTCTGCACTGTGGGGTAGTCATCATTATTTCATGGGGCTGTGTGAGGCTAGCACAATGCTTAGCACATAGGGCATGCTCAAGAAATGGACAGTTGTTAGTAGTAGTTGTAGAAATAGAGATAATAATGGTCATGTGGAGAAATGAATTGTTGGAGGAATTTTTGAAACTAAGGAGAACCCAGGTCACCATTGAAATGCTGGGATGGCTACAGAGCTTAAGCCAATTCCTCTAGTGTCTGTGGACTGTCAGAGCAGTAATATATGGGGAGGGGATGGTCAAGGAGGTTTCTACTTCCATTGATAAACATATCCGTTTTCCAGAGCTTTGGTTCTCTCAGAGGTAGCTTGGCTTCAGCCTGTGTCTGTGCCCAAGGATTCAGGCACACAAGCTCTGAAGGGCAGGCATTTAGCTGTCCAGCATTCCTTATGTGCTGTCCAATGAGGCTCTCAAAAGGGGATAAGCAGAAAAGTAGTTTTACTTTCTTCACACTGTCCAGCAGTACTACCATTGCAATAACATCTGGTATGGCCTAAATCCCTCACTAATCAAGACACCACAGGCCTTCTCCCAGACTGGGCTGTTTCCTGAAATCAGGAAGATTTAACATGTTCTCTTCTGAAAATGCTCCAATTCTGAGAACTCTCCCATGACCCATACAGAGTGCACTCATGAGTCAGTGTCCAGTGGAAAGCAAATAATGCTCGTGTGAACGTTTTTCGTTTTCTGAAGGGTACATCCTGCAGTATTCCGAGGACAACAGTGAGCAGTGGGGGAGTTTCCCCATCAGCCCAAGTGAACGTTCTTACCGCTTGGAAAATCTGAAATGTGGGACGTGGTATAAGTTCACTCTTACTGCCCAAAATGGAGTGGGACCAGGCCGTATAAGTGAAATCATAGAAGCAAAAACATTAGGAAAAGGTAGGTGTGCCTTCTGGTCCTTCTAGATCTCCTCTGTCTTCCAGCAAGAAGAGGGTGGGATCCTAAAAGATGTATCATGTATCTGTGCACTTGCTTGTGTACTTGAACTTTGTTATTCTGCAAATGGTCCAGCGGTGTCACAGCAAACTCAGAGAGGTGGCTGGTCCTGAGAGTATTCTGGTTCTTTTTTGTGTGTGTTATTTTATTTGCAATTATAAAGAAGAGGGCCATTTGAAAATCAAGAGTATTGGTGCAACATAAAGTGCCAAGGTGGGCAGCCATTAAATGTGACCTTTGACCTCTCACCCCTTTTGGGGGGAGTGACCTTTTTCCTTAGTCACATCGACAGCCCCATCTTCCTATAAATTTTTCATTGCCTCATAGTCCCCACTTTTCAGGCAGGGAATGCCAGGTATAAATTATTAACACTTCAATAATTGGGCTGGATTTTTACCTAACACATGGACCCTTAAGGAAATAAGCCCCAGGGAACTGACATTCAGAGGTGAACTTTGCACCTGGGCAATGGCAGGAAGAGGGAAGGATGTACTCACATGAGCTTGTGTGACTGTGGTTGGGAGGTGAAGAGGAGGTCTTCCTCGGTCTCCCTCACGTCTGAATCTTACTGGGTGGGGTGGCCTCAGATTGCAGGAGAGCCAGAGCTGGGAGGATTAGGGTGGTATCTGGTGCCAGTGTTTTGGATAACAAGTGGTAGGTTCAGATGAGAAGGGACTAATTGATGCACAGGCAGAATCATTAGGTCCCTGGGCTCCAGTGCAAGTATTTGGCTAGTGAGGAATACCTGCTGATGCTTCCCAAATCCATCTGTCTTCTCTTGAGTCAGGTCCATCCACGTGAGGGTGGAAGCAGGCCAGCCCAGCACACTACAGTGTGTGAACCACTGAGGGAAACTCGTACGTGAAAACAGCATTGTCCTTCAGGGGACTCTAAGATACACAAAAATAACCTCCCCCCACCCATTTTCCCCCTCACACCTAGGCCATTATGGTTGGAGAAAGGCCATTGTCCATAAAGTATTAACAGCAGACACATTGCAGGTGGCCTGTGACCCAGACGTGGCCTGAGCTCCTGGCGTGGGTGTAGAAAGCAGCCGAGGGAATGGTGTGAACACCTTGAGGGCGTTCACTGGCCCCGTGTGGGCTGACCTCCCATGTGCACTCTCCCCAGAGCCCCAGTTCTCCAAGGAGCAAGAGCTCTTTGCCAGCATCAACACCACGCGTGTAAGGCTCAACCTCATCGGTTGGAACGATGGTGGCTGCCCCATCACCTCCTTCACGCTGGAGTACAGGCCCTTTGGAACCACAGTGTGGACCACAGCTCAGCGTACCTCTCTCTCCAAGTCCTACATTCTGTACGACCTGCAGGAAGCCACCTGGTACGAGCTGCAGATGCGGGCGTGCAACAGCGCCGGCTGTGCAGAGAAGCAGACCACCTTCGCCACGCTCACCTACGATGGCAGTAAGCTGGCTGGCCCGGCCGCCTTCCATCTGTGTCTGGGGGATGTGCATGTGTGCGTCCAGTCCTCGTCCCACTGAACATTCATCTTTGCCACGTATGACCAGTGCCCAGTTGGCTTCAGGGCCATTCAGTGGCCTCTTTATGAGCTCCCTAGTTCATTGCACCCAGATGACCATCACTGTGTGTCCAGAAATAAGGGACAGAGGGCCAAAGGGAGCCTCCCTGGGGAGTCTTGCTACAGGAGTGATTCTCCTGGAGCTGCAGGATTCTTTGCCATGTGGTTCTATGCCTTTGTCCGTGACTGCAAGCTAACACTGCTTTTATTGTCTCCACCCTTTCCCCACCCCATCCCAATCCACATAACAACTTTCTGTTTTGCTCTCATTAAGCCCTTAAACTGCATGTGAGAAAACAGTTTTTCATGGTAAAGGAGCTTATGTTAGTCTCTGAGAGGGAACAGGGGTCCCAGTGGAAATAGAGTAGCCACAGGCAGAGCAGAACTTCCAACTTGGTTTCTCCCCCAATGTGGTTTCATTCTTTGGTCTTACAAAATAAAGGACTTTGACACTTGTCAAACACTTAAACACTTTTCTTAGCATTTAAGCGTTCACCTAAGTCCTCTGTTAACACACACATTTGAGTTAATAAGTTTATTTCATAGTTAAAATTATCGGCTAGCAATGTGCACACACTGGCCCACAGCTTCTCTATAACAGGTGCAGACACCAGAGCACTCGGCTTAAATGTGCATGCTGGTGATATGATCACAGCTAATGATGTAATTAGAGATTACTCATGCATAGGATTTGCAACTGTGATTCTGACTCACAAAGTACTCCCCAGAATTTAAATGTGTGTCTTCTAAAAAATATATAATATTCTCACGTTATCCAGGATTGCAAAGTACAGAAAAGTCCTGTGAGCTACATTTAATTTTCAGAAATCTGAAATGATTTTATCACACTAAGAAATATGAATGAATATTTATATTTTCCTTGAAAAAGATTATAGATTTCTTTGAACCAATTTCATGGATATATGGCTTTAATATCTCTTGTGTCACATATGCCTGAAGAATTTTTTTTCATTTTAGAAGAAACAAGCATTGACAATTAGCCTTAAATTATACCAGTCAGCTTTCAGAATCTTCCACTTCTTTATCCGACTGTTTCTTCTACTGTTTCCTCAGCCAGTCGTTAATGCTGGTCCTTGTGTAGTCTCGGTTTGGCCAACTAATCCTCACGGGCACCCCTTAAATGCCTCTTACCTGGGTTTCTGACAGTCAGGAGTATTTCTAGACTTGGGTTTCTAGCCCAGAACACTGTAAAGTTGGAAAAACACTCTTTTTGGCCTTAGCAGACATCATACAGGGCTGAGGGTTCTATTATCCCTGCTCTACTTACTAAATGCAAGATAAAGACCATTTTTGCTCAGGGGAAAATTATATTATTTTTGCATTATTTTTCCTAAAGCACTGACTTTCTGACCCTTGTTTTATATGGAAAATACTGTGGGATAGAACATCTTACATAATGGAGAGAGGCAAAATACATACCCCATGAAAAGTGGATGTCTGTGTTCAAATCTCTGTACCCATGGTATTCAACCTCTGGATAGAAACAGCTTTAGAAAGCTCAGAGTTTATTCTACTTTTATGTTTGCTTATAATTCTTAATAATCTAAATTTCATAGTACAATTTACTAATGCCTGGTCGATAAGTAGCTTGTGCTGGAGACCTAGATGGGCCACCTTTGAAAAGTTGTCTGTAGCTCTTATTCCCTAAAGTGAGGGTTTTAAAAATAGACTTGGTCTTACACCTGTGATAAAAAGCAAGTGAATAACCAAATTAAAAGTCATTCAAGCTTCTTTAAGCCAGGGTCTCTGGTAGTCTCCCTGCAGACGCTCTTCTGTGCATTTGCCAAACCCACTGTTTCTTTTTTAATATGCAATTTTTCAAATAGCCCCCATCACCTGTACTATGGGTGTCAGTCAGGGGGACACTTACTTCCAAGTAAATGTACTTGGCTTTTGTAAGCACTGAGCCTGGACATTATGTTTTCAAGTGCCTGCACTCAGCAGTACGTTGCAACATGAAGTCTCTTTCAAAGAGGTGCTATAGTGTAAGCTGGAAGTTTGGGCAGAGGGAGGCAAGTGAGCAAGTTACGTTAGCCAGGACCTAGAGAAAGGTTCCTCTCATTTCTCATCACCTCGGACACCCCAGATCACACAGTGCAATCTCCGTAACCCGTCATCCCTAAAAACTCCACCATGCCGTCTTCATTAATAGCCATCTAACATCGTGGCCCTGCTTTCAGGTACAATTCCTCCACTCATTAAGTCGGTTGTCCAAAGTGAGGAAGGGCTGACGACCAATGAAGGGCTCAAGATGCTGGTGACCATCTCCTGTATCCTGGTGGGGGTCTTCCTGCTGTTTGTTCTCCTGCTGGTCGTGCGGAGGAGGCGGCGGGAGCAGAGGCTGAAGAGGCTGAGAGGTGGGTCAAGGCTCTGGCCATGCACCCTCAGATTCCCTGCCATTCATGACCATCGGGAGAGAGGTCAGGGGGACAACACACCCCAAAGGAGAATGACTTTTCCTTCTTTGAGCTATGTCCCCCAGCTGCCTGATTCTATGACTGGAGAGCATTAGGGGGAAGCAACAAAAATGTTCCTGTCTCATCAATCAGAAATTGAGTGAAAGCCAGCCTCTCACATGTCCCTAAATCCTAACTGTTGGTAGGCAAAGAAAATTAATTTCTCATGGGTTTTCAACCCCACTCTCTTTCGTTTTCATTGGTTCTAGCAAAGCCACCAATTATGGTTTTCTTTGAAAAGACCTATCAGATTTGCTATGGAAATGAGAGTTATTTTATTGCCTGGAAGCCGAAATTGAGGGCTTATGTTACTGGGAGAGCATTGTCAGACAGAAAACACACGCTTTCCCAAATTAGAAATTTGAGCTGAAGCCCAGTGTAAGAGTTTCACTCTGAGAAAAAAAATAACAGAAGATGGAGAAGGCCAGATGAGATCCATTGTTAACAGACACCATTATTATAACGTCTGACTCTGTATAGCTCTGTGTGATGAGGCTATTCTCAGCTCTGGCCAACAGCCCTTACTCTCGTTTGCCCTGCAATGTGAGGACAAGGAGTTCTCTCAAATGCAAAACTCTGTGCAGGAGAAGTGCTCCCCAGCCCTTTGCCATTTACTGGCCAGGGTATTCAACCAAACCACCTCTTTTGTAAAGTGTGCATACAAGGTGTATGCATTTTAATATCAGTGCAGTGTGGGGTAATGCTGTGCAGCATCCTATATATTCTTTAAAGTTACATTCAAGGAACAAGTCTGAAAGCACTCCTCCTAAAGCACAGCTGTGATATTCCAAACTCACTGAGTTGTTTAGGAAACATTGACCTTTTACGTAAATCTTTTACCGTAATCCCATTAGAGCAGCAGAACGTGCTTACGTTTATGCGTGTCTTCACTCCTCCACACATTCCTCTTTGTGGGACTCTTCCACATCTTATTGTCAATTGGCTTTCACTCTGCCAACAAATTAAAATATCTGAAGTACATTGCACTCCATTTTTACATTATAATGGCCCTTCTATTTAAATCTTCTGCAGCCCAATAATTCAGATGAACCGTCAATCGTATTGAAATGCTCTTTCTAAATCATGTTAGTCAGTTATCTTTTAATTTTGCACACATTACTTGAGTGAATACTATATCCTACACATTGTACTAGGTGCTTGATACATAAAGATGAAAAGAAAGAACTTTCTTGGCTTTTTTAAAACTTGAAACATAATTGATTATGCACATCTATGAGGTACAGAGTCAAATATCAATACCTGTGTACAATACGTGATGATTGAATCAGGATAATTAGCATATTTATTATTACAGGTTCAACGTAGGAGGTAGACCCAGAAGCATCTATCAGCAAAAGAACAAAAATGTCACAAATGCTAAAGCAGGGCTTCCAGCAAACCCTACATAAGTGCAAAAGAGGGAGATATTAGTCCTGGGTGGGAGGAGAAGCATGGCCACCCAAGAGCTGAGTACAGTAGTACTACAAGAATATAATACTGCCCGATAAGTTGAGAATTTGTATAAAGTGGATCATGTTGGATTCTGTTCACAAGTCTTCATCGCTAAAATACCAAAATGACGTTTCTATAACTCTATTTCGTGGATAGCAGAATCCAATGGCTGACACCTAAGGCAGTTGTTGTTGAGGTACCAAGGTCTGACCTTGTTGTGGTGAGACAACTATGTTTAACTAGTTGCACTTAGAAGGCTATGAATCGTCCGTGTAACATTTCTTTAAAACAACTATAAAAGTTTCTTATGAACGATTCTATTTAACCACAAGAATTTGGTAGCAAATGGGTTAAACATCTAGGCAATCCTTCCCCTCAGTGTACCCCTTCACCAAATTTGCTTTTTCTTTTTTCCCTGGCTTCTGTTGCTTGCTCCTTCCTTCTTGGCTTTGTTTTATATTTCCTGTCCTACTCATAACATAAGCACCTCAACCTTGCTTTTCCTTGCCAAGAGCACTCCCAGTTAAAGATGCTGCCGACTCTTACTAATACCTTTGGGTTAGACTGATGGAAGACCCATGCAAACTTCATTTTTATTCTTAATAGTTCCTTGAAATTTAGTTATTGCTTTGCAAGGGCCATGTCTAGAAAACATCCTGGGACTGGCATTTCTATTGTCAGTATCTCTACTTCTAGACTCTGGTGTGTTTTATAGTTGGCTTGGTAAAGAAAGCAATAGATCACATCAGTCTTTCATTCCCTAGAAATGGTTTTGTTTTCTTTGGGCAAGAGAAAAGCTAGAGCCAACACAAAGGTTTCTGTAGGAAAAAAATAAGTGCTGTGGCAAAGATGTGTTCATGAGAGATGCCAAGGAGCAAAGAATTCTAGAGAAGTAACCTGCCATCATACAAAGGAATTTGCAGTCTTGCACTTTGTAGGCACTTAGCAAAGCTTTCTTGAATCAAAAATCTGAAAAGGGTACAGCAAGAATGCAAAGTATTGGGCACCCAATTCCTTACCACTTCCTAATGCCAGTTTTAATGTTAACGCACTGATATAAATTTAATTCAGCACACCATTGTGGGTCTTCCACGTGCTAAATGTAACGCTTTTTAAAACCAGTGATCACATTTTCTTATTAACCATTTCTATCTGATCACAAAAATTTGGCGAGGTCCTGAAGAGAAAAAAGATTTCTAAGACCCCATCCCAGAATAACAGAAGGTGATGCTTTAGTGGCAATGGGTCAAGGCTTACAAGGCACATCTCTACGTAGCTGTGGGAAGTGCTGCCATAAAAAGACAGAGTAAGTGATTGGGGCTGTACAGGAGGAATCAGTGAAAGGCCAGGCCTTGCCCAGGAAAGACCTCTTTGTCTTTTAGCCCTGCAGGGCCTCTGAAATGCTCATGAATGATATAAAATATTTCCATCCCACCCTCGGAGGACAACTGCAGGCATCGAGTTTAAAGTAATAGGTGACTATCTATTAAACATCCACACTTCATTAGTAGAATCACCCAATTACCACCTGACCCACATAAGACACAGATTCTGTGCCTGCATTAGAGTAAGTTCAAATATACTTACAGATTCTAAAGAGAGAATTGCTTCATGCAGTATTTTTATTGTCCAAAATAAAGACAACTTTTTTTAGTAATATGTCAATGTTGCTTGAGCCACCACCTATCAAAATCATAAATGGAAATAAGAAAATTTCAATTATAGAAAAATATTGCGGGGGTTCCTAATGGATGTTTTTAGAGTTATTATGTAAGATAAAATTCATTTTGACCTTGTTTGATTGCTGGCACTACTAAAATATTTATAAGCAAAGTATTTTTTACTATATAGACAAGCAACCTAGTTAGATGACTGCAATATAATGTTCTTTTATGTAAAAATATTTTTTAAAAAATAAAGGAATTGGGACTCAAGCAGTTTAGCCAACCTATATTCTTTTTTCTTGAGTACTTTACTAATTTTAGAGCATAGCAGCCTCCTAAAGTCTAAATTGTCTGCAAATGCTTCATTTTTTTTAAAATCTATTACCTTATCCAGGAGTTCAGAAGCCACATTTGCTTTTAATAGTGCCCTGGTTTTCCCCCAACTTCTAGATCTTTTGAAGTGCAATGGTTACAGAGTCACTGGCTGGACTGAAGATCCCAGCAACCCCAACTTTATAAAAATTTGATTCCCATGTCAAGTAATCAACCCCAATATTACTAAAAGCTTCCTCCTTTAGTATGAGTTTGCCCAAGAGGATGCAAGCTTGTGTTGGCACCAATCAGTATGAGTCAACTGGCGGTGTCAAGCCAAGAAATCCCAAGACTTCAAATAAGCTTAAGATAAAAAAAAATCAGTGGATGATGAAAATTTGACCATGCTTCTGTGCCAGAATGCCTCACTTTCTTCACATGAACGGATATGTATGTATGTATGTATGTATGTATGTATTTATTTATTTATTTGTTTGTTTGTTTGTTTGTCCTTTTTGAGACCAGCCGCACCGCGCTCAGCCAGTGAGCGCACCAGTCATCCCTATATAGGATCCGACCCGAGGCGGGAGCGCTGCTGCGCTTCCAGCGCTGCACTCTCCCAAGTGCACCACGGGCTCGGCCCGTGTTTATTATTTTAAACAAGCTTTGAAATGGATTAATAGCATGAAACCGATCAATTGCAGAAGCCCCTTCCGGGAGAGAATGCAGGTTCACAGTTCCACGTGGGCGCCTTGTAAGAGGTGCTGGAAGGCGTCTGCACTTTGTTCTGCAAATGAGCTGAAAGCTCTCCTCATTTGAAAATCCAGAAAGCAATTTGAATTTTTCTAATATAAAGGAGGACTGTACTTCTAGGAGCCCAGTGACCCTCGGACTTCAGGTGCACTTAAGGTGAATAAAGACTGCCCAGTGCCAATGCATAGAGCCCCTATACACGTGGGGGTCCCACGTTGCTCGTTAGTGAAGAAACAGGAAGTGCGCCCTCTAGAGACTTCGCTGCTGAGCTGATAAATGCCCAACTTGGGGCTGAGATAAGCCGTGCTCTGAAACACTTTAGTCCTCTGCTTTGTGTTTTCTTCCTTTCTTCTTCTTTCTTTTTCCTCTCTCTCTCTCTCTCTCTCTCTCTCTCTCTCTCTCTCTCTCTCTCCCCCCCTTCTTTCTCTCTGCTTTAGTTTCTTAATAAAATTATCCTTTCACAACTCCAAACTTGTTATGACAGAACTGAGTAGAAAAAGTTCTGTATCTGGGAGAAAAGGAACACTGGGCTGCTGGCAAGTCGGGGACAGCCAGTGGAGCTGGGGACAGGAGCGGGCAGTCAGGAGGGAACCATGGGCAGCAGCCCTGGCCGTGGAATTTGGCCTTGCCTGGGGGGTCTATTTTGTCCATGTTTGTACAGTTTGCAGTTTTCTCAGACAACAAGTATATACAGCTTTCTTTTCCGGATTTTTTTTTTTT